GGGGAGAATGGGGATATTGCGGACACAAGGGAATCCTTAAATAAAGGATAAAGTATAATCTCAAATCAGCCTTTCTTTATTAATATATATTAAACTTTGGTCTTTACCTTATAAAATTAACAGATATAAATATTAAAAACTAATGAACTTCAATATTCTTTTACCAAAAAACAAAACCCTTGCAGTCCGTATTTACCCGGTAGGCTTCGGGTAAATACGGACAGCATGTGGGGTAATTATGAATGGCACTGCTATTGCAGTTGCGACATTAAAAAATTTTGAAACGCAACAATAATACAACAAAATAATGAACTATCATTATTTGTCGCTACAGAAATCGTAAATATAGCCTCGGCTTGTACTCCCACCTGTGCAACTGTCATGTGCCCATTCTGGTCCGACACGATACGTCCGTATTTTCCCCAAGACAACAGTTCGTAATTAACCCACCTGGATGTCGATATTTTGCGGCAAAAAATTTTAGGTTAGGTAATAATAGTGATAGTTTATTATTCCACATTTTCGGATGTGATTAACAGTATTAATACATATCTTATACAGTTTTTAAGTTAGATAATTATCATAACATTGACGCGCAACTACAAACGAACAAAAATTAGAAGAAACCACTTCAAAGTATAGAATTAATCTTACCTTAAGAAGCGCGCGGCCTCCCGTGTTGACATCAATTCGGGCACTAAAGATGGCCAACTCGACTCCGTTATGAAAGTTACGGGGCGTGGGGTTGGATAGAGCAACCAATACAACAGTGTCCGCATTTACCCGATGTCCGTAATTACCCCACTCTCCCCTACTCCTGAAATGTTCATTATTGTGTAAGTAAGTAGCATAACTTACCCCGCGCGTACATGACTGAGCTTTGATTAACTCAAAAATTTACCTACTTACCCAAAAATTATTTTACTTGCAATTTCAACGAAATTATTGGATTGTGAAAATAATATAGGATATGACAATTGTAGAGGCAAGGGCTGCAAAAACTGTACAGCCTATAGGTACCTTGAAAATCCGCCACTGCGGCCAAGGTATCCAGCCTAACTTATCTTGTTATTTTTTTATTGTTAGGATACAATAAAATTAATCAATCAGCTTAAAAAACTGCTATTTGTCATTTACATTGCTTAAATATATGTAAAAATATTTCGTGAACGTTGTAGTAAAGAACTGGCACTGCCTTGCAGCTTGCAGCCTAAATACAGGAAGAAATTCGACACGTCCATTGGTCTGGATAACATAATAACCACTAACACAACATAGTGAATTCGGAATTTCGGATCGCAAACGATCGCTAGGTACTTCATGTCCATGGTTGCCTGAGAGCTAGACCGTTTTGATTTTATACTAGTAAAAATTGTCTATAACTTTTGTTACCTTTACCGACAGTGGGTGCCGGCCGGCTGCCGCGTCTACATCTGCACGGATAAATTGGTTTATTATAAAATTCCACCCTCTTCTCGCCCCCTTAAAGAATAATTTCTGGAATAAAAACTACCCTACCTTTACCAGGACGCATAAGTAGGTATATTTTCAAAAATTTCATCTAAATCGGTTCAGTGGTTTAAGCGTGATGAAGGAACAGACAGACATTATTATAGACAGACATATATTATTATGTATTTTACAGGAATAGTGGAGAGCTTGCAGTGCTACTGGTGTGGCCCGCTGGCGGAGCAAGTGCACCGCAGCCAACGGGCGCCGTCTTGCGACGCGCTCGGGGACCACGTGACTGCCTGCGAGCCTGGCTACACCCACTGCGCTGTGGTCGCATCTTCACCGCGTAAGTTAAAATTAGGTAATACACGCACACGACAGAAGACTTGATCTCTGGTACACAGACACACAAAAAAAAAAAAAAAAAAAAAATGTTTATTTTCAGACATAGTCCATAGATATGTTAGTTAATTGACTTAAATGCTATGTTAGTAACAAGAAGACAATACAATAAAATAAATTTTAACAAATATTGGCTTGGAGCCCTATACAGCGGGGCGGATTCACCACACACGTGATCGCAGCACGTGCAGCTCAGTGAACCGGCCCAGCAGCACGGAGTCCAGCCGGTCCCCTACCATCCTCAGGACGCTGTTCGTGCTCTCTCTCACTCTTCTAACTAATGAGCCAACTTTTTTGCGAATAACCGCATAGAAGTCGTCGACTCCTGCATCGGCAAACATGCCTGAGGCACTGCAGTAGCGAGGAAGCTTGAACAGAGCCCTAAATACATTATTGTATGAGATACGCAGAGCATTATAGGCCGCGCGTATAAAGCTGGCCCACAGGCTGCCTGTATATAATGTCTGGCAGTATGCCTTGAACAGCGTCATTTTGACTTCAGCTGAACAGCGAGCGAACCTACGTGCCAACATGTTACCACGCACCGACAATGCCCTGCGCTCCCTCTCAATATCTGCATTATCACATAAATTTTCAGTGACTATGTGGCCTAGGTACTTAAACTGGGAAACATGGCTCAACGGTGTACCATTTAGAGTGATCGGAGGTATAATAGTCGGACCTTTCTTGTCGGCTTTAAACAACATGAATTCACTCTTTTTCTCATTATATTTTAAACCATGTTCCACAGCATAAGACTCACATATGTGCAATAATTTTCTTAATCCCCCTATCGAGGGGCTCAGCAGCACCATGTCATCCGCGTAACTTAGGTTATTGACGCAAACGTCATCTACGTGACAACCAACATGCGTGCTACTGAGCTTCTCGATGAGCTTATTGACATAAATATTAAAAAGTCTTGGTGAAGTGAGCCCCCCCTGCCTAACACCACATTCAAGAAGGTATTCATCAGAATATACGTTACCCCATCTAACTGTATTGCTTGACTATACCAATATGAAAATAGGGCTACTACGACTGAAGACACTCCTGCGTTTCTTAGCTTTGTCCAAAGCTTTTCATAAGATACTAAATCAAAGGATTTGGACAAATCCAAGAAACACGTGTATACCGGGGTTTTCCGCTTAACATAATAATGCACAGTGTGCTTTAAAGCTAATATAGCACTTTCAGTAGAGAGCTCCCGCCGAAAACCGAATTGCGTGTCATGCAATAACAATACACTCTCAAGTTTTTGATCTAATAACCCATCGAAAACCTTCGCGATTACCGTGGCTAAGGAGATTGGTCGATAATTAGTCTTATCAGCGGTATCGGCCGTGGGGTTCTTAACTATCGGTACTATAAATATCCGTCTCATCCTCTTATTATTAATTATAATCTACTTTTAAGGAAGGGAGCGAAATTCCTCGCGGGTCAGAAGGCTCAACTTATAGTGCGCGTCTTATAAGTATATGAGCGTAACATTTTCTTTATGTTTTCATCGTGAGCTGGGGTAATTTGCTGCGCCTGGTTTAATTAAGCAATATAGCAAAATTTTGGTCACTCAATCTTACCGTTCAGACTAACTAGTTTATAGATGTGAAAGGTGATTAAACTCAACAATTACATGTTGATCGCGCTAACTCTACGCCATCGAGCTCCATTCATCAAACAAAATTCATCTTGAAGGGATTCTATATTTATCTGTCCTTAATTTTCATTTTCTTTTCACAGCATTCGTGGAGTCCCGATATTGTGTGAAATTTTATCAAGATGAATGCTACAAGCTCTACTGCAACTCTACCAAAACCTTTAGAATGACTTGCCCGTGTCGCGGTGAACTATGCAACGGAGCAAACACACAAAGGGAAATCGATGCGTTCACTGTACTAGCCAAAGCCGTGGCTAAAACACAAAACACTAGGTTGAAGAAAAGAAATGCGGTTCACTTAAACAATTTTGTTAAAATTAATAAAGCTAAATCAGCGAATCTAGTCCAAAACGATGAGGAAAACATGAATAATACAAAAACTAACATGGATAGTGATGAAATTGAAGTAACTAAAACTACCGAAAGTACTCAAATGAATAATATGACAAACAATACAATGATGCTATCCGATCAGCCTTTGATTGAGAAAGAGAATTCTGAAAATGCTGTTGTCTCAGAACATGCTGAAATGAATGAAGAAACTAATATGACAAAAACTACAGCTAACACCGACGGAGAAACAGACAATAAAGTACTTGAAATGACTACGCCAAAGATGGAAGAACATGTAGATTCTAACATCACTACTACAAAAGTGTCGGAATCCGCAATGGTAGAGCAACTTGCAGTGGATGAGAACTTATTAATGAGCAACGACATTAAACCTAGTATGAAGCTGCCCACAGCCGAAGCACTACAACAAAATGGTGGTCAAATAACAACCACTGAAAAAGCTGTAGACCTAACAACCCCGGAGCCAATGCTCTTAACGAGCCCAGAAAGTAATAGTGATACTAGCCCAACGTCAACTACATCATCTCGCAATAATGCAAGAAAAGTAACCGTTGGTGCTTGGATAATTTTAAATTCACTTATCTTTAGTACTATTGTCTAGACATAATGTATATTATAAAGCACTGTCACGCACTGCTGCAGATTCAAGGTGTTAATGCTCTATGTTAAAATGTGTGTTTGACAATGAACCCCTTATTAAATTGCTGAACACAAGTCAACATATTGATCTCTGTTAAAATTAAGTATCTTGTACAAACTTATTGATTACTTATTGCGGTTTACTTAAAATATGTTATACCGTCATGTGTTGCGCGTCAATAATTGTTGCCTAATGGATACAAGGCTTTAGTTGTTAAAGGTGAAATCAGTGCCATACTGTGACTAAGCTCGATGGTTATGTATGTAAATTTCGAAACATTTTTTTTGCTTTTGAAACCAAAATGTAGCCTATGTCTATTGTCGATTACTGTGCATTGATATCTAAGCAAAAAATATGTTTTTTCAATCACAAAAATATAGTTTATGTAAGTCAGTTTATATACAAAACATAGTATGAGTAATATGTACTATTAAAATAAGTAATGCCTTTTGTTAGTTTGGAATTATAAATTAAAATAAAAATTTGATCAAAATTTTGGTAAACTATTTTTTTGATAAAATTAAATGTTTATTGTACACACGTAGTATATAATTGTGATATTAGTATTTAAATAAACATAACAATAAAACCAACTTTTTATTGTGTTATTTTAAAATCTTTAATTTAAATAAATTGATTATTTAAAGTATGTACCTACATTCAATCAAATGTAAAATCATACTGTTTTGACAGTTGCCTATCAGAGCCCTTATTTTCTAGACTTTTGGCACCCTGAGCATATGCCTCTCTAATGTCTGAATTAAACGGCTTCTGCGGTCTAGAACACTTTGGAGTAGGGCCATAGTAGTCATAAGTGGGCGGTGGTTCAATTTCTGCGTTATTAGAAACAAATTTTCTTTTTTCTGTTTTACGTTGTTCGCTGATATCTTCGTCGTCGCTTAATTCATTCTCTATGGGCGTAGGTTCCTGAGTTTGGACAAAGTTCTTATAATTCGTCAGCGAAGGTTTATTGGATGTAGAAAAATAAAGGCCTTTCTGTATGTCTGGAAAACTGATATCGCCAATTTCGGGCGGTGGCGGAGTTTTCGTTTTCGGTCTTACATCTGCCCAAGTTTTCTTGACTGGAGTATCGGAACCTGGTTCTATCATTCTCCCTTTATCATCAAACGTATAATCTGTTCTACTACTAGATAAAGCTTTGGGTGGTGCAAACTCATCTATTCTCTTGCTTCGCTGTTGTTCGACATATTCTTCTTGTGTCATTTCTCGAAACTTTTTAACCTTTCCTTCGACTCCTTCCTTGCCCAAATCCCACTCTCGTATGTGAGCTTCGCGTAACTTTTGCCTTTCCTTCTCCTGCTCCTCTTTAGCTTTCCTTTCTTCTTCTTTCGCTTTCTCGTCCGCCTCATTTTTCTGTTCTGTAAGAAATTCTAACAAACAAGCAGTAAAGTCCTTTTGATTATCTGAAACAGAAATACAGCACATATTATTCTTTAATCAATGCTAAGTAATTAAAATAACAAAGGTGGTGAGTAGAATAATAATCAGCATCGGCCTATTAATGTCTCCACTGCTGGGGCACAAGCCTTCCCTATAGATGGAATAGGGAGATTGGGCCGTGACCCACAATGCGGGTCCAGTGCGGATCACGTACGACAAGAACGTGCGAAAAAGGTCGTGGTCAAAGGCCGGTCAGGCTTCACAAACTCTGGGGAAACCTAGGTAAGTTCGCAACAAGGTGATGCTGTGTGTATGGTGGGATTGGAAAGGGCATTATTCATTATGAGCTGTTACAGCCAGGCAGGACCATTGATTCTGAACTCTACTGCGAACAACTGATTAAAATTAAAGCAAGAAGTTGAGAGAAAACGGCCGGATTTAATCAACAGAAGGGGTGTGGTTTTTCATCATGATAACACTAGACCTCACACATCTTAAGCCACACAGCAAAAATTAAGAGAGTTTGACTGAGAGGTGTTAATACATCCGCCATATAGTCCTGACCTTCATATTTCCACCTGTTTCGTTGTCAGGTTAACATCACGAGAGGATATTTGTTTCTTAGGTATTCACGCAAACCCTCATTAAATAAAACAAGTTTCAACGGTATGGATACACTGTTTTATTTATTTATGTCGTTTCGCATCCTTTTCATATACGTAATTCTGACAACGCAGCCTGAATACCGTTACTACGTAACTTGTTTTATTTATCACGAGAGGACTGCCAAAACCACTTGTCGCGATTTTTTGATCAGAAGCTACAAGATAGCAAAAAGTTATCGAACAAAATGGCATCTACATATTTTAGTTAAATGTGAATAAACTTTTTTTTTTGAATATTTTGAATTTTCATATAAATAGCGAAAAAACTTTTTCGCCTATAACAGTGTAAAGATAACTTAAAAACGTATCACAAAATTTCAAAAATATACATTATAACAAATAAAACTTTAGCAAACATTACCTTTGGGTTCTTCCGGTGGTAGTCCAGCCCTCAGTCTCTGTCTTGCCCTAGCAGCGGCGACCCTGGCTGCCATCAACTCGTCTCTCTTCTTCCTCAACCTCTCGCTCTCTTCCTGTGCTTGAAGGGTTTCCTTTCGGCGCTTCGTCAATTCTTCCATCTGTTTCCGTCGCTCCGTCTCATCGGTACTGAACGAATAGTACGCCACACCGTGTATACGAGCCTCTAAGAAATTAAGTAAATCGTGTTAAAGTTATTATTGGTAATTGCAAGAGCTATGTCGTGTAGCGACAAAATAAATAGATAGAAAGAAAAAGAGTAAAGGAAAATCAGAAGAACAGTATAGAATATCTATATTTATTAGAATAAAGTATTTACAGAACAACAATAAATAAAAAAAGCAGTATGTAGTGTAGAGAGCGTGAAGTGGGCGTGGGTCGTCGGCGATCTTCAGAGGCGGCTTGAGCGGGAGGCCGTGCTGCAGGGGTGCCGTGACGGCCCTCCTTGAAGACAGAAGCGCTCCTGGTGAGGCGTCTCCCAATTCTTGGCCTGCCTTGCTGGTGGCTGGCAGGCGCTGCTGGTAGGTTGGCCGGCGAAGTGGTAGGACGCCCGGAAGTGCTGGTAGAACGGCAGACGACGCTAATATGCGGGCCGAAGAAGCTGGATGCTGGATGACGCTGCTGGAGACCGGGCGGCAGTCCCGCCGATGAGGTTGACAGTATAAGTAAAGAGGACAAGTAGAGTACAGTTTAAAGAGTCAAAGGGTGCTCTATAGCTTTGAGGTCTTTTCTTGAGTCCCGGGGCAGACGGCCACGGGACAAGGCCTTTTATTGATTTAGAGCTCGGTAGCGAGCTAACAAAAGTTATTATGGCAGCTTTTGCAGAAGAAATGAATCAAAGATCAGGATGGCTCGGCCATTTAAATTTAGACATGATTCGAATCGAACTAAAAAGAATCAAAGTTGGTGGTCTGTGGAGGTTAAATAGTCATAGACCTAGTTGGAGAGAGTATCCGTGTCATGGGTAGCCATGGCAACGGATAAAAACATTAAGGTGTCACAAAAATGTCAAGGAAATAAATAAACGAAATTATGCCTAAAAATAAATAAAATATGGCAAAAGAAACCGCTATTTTTATTACAGATAAATATAAGGTTATAGAAAGATGGCGGTAAGTGTCCAGCACTCTGGAAAAGTGATTTTAGTAAGATAGGATTCTGATACGTATTTACAAAAATATGAATAATTGTGCGTTTCCAGGAAATTTGTGTATAAATACGATGAAGAACTATGATGTTAGATGACAAAAATGTGTGAAATGGAATCTATGAATACCAAAAGAAAGGATCATCCCTGAGGTATGTTACAATATGTCATACCATAAAAAAGATAGTCCAGTAGGTAATCTACATACAAAGTGCGCTCGAGCAACGCACATATAGCACACCACTCACGGAGACACGATATCACGGGCCAGTCGGGACCACTACGAGCGGAGCGCGAGTTCCATCCGGATTCCAAATGGAGAAACAAAAAAGTACAGATATAATAACTTTTTGTTTTGACAACCGTCTGGTTGTTTAAATTCAACATGAAGCGGTGAATTGCCGTTTTTCTAATTTGTAAAATACAATAAAACGTAATATGGTTTATATTTTCGTTCTTTCTGTTTCATTCTCGACAAAAATACAAAATGCAGTATCGTTTATTCAGTCTAGGCTGTTACAAGCACTTGTGAATGTCGAAAAGCTACGCCATCGATTCGCAAATCTACGGCGGGAGACCTTGTACTGAGAAGAACCGGCAAGAAACTCAGCAAGGGCTGTTTTTTTCTGCCTGTATTATATACAGAGTCGTCAAATTGAAAAATGACTTCAATATGAGATAACTCATGAAGTCACTTTCCATTACAAATGTAAATGATATATATAACAATTATGACTATAAAATAAAAAAATATAAAAAAACAGGGGGTCTACTCTCTTTCTCCGAAACGAACTTTCGATAACGAAGTTCAAACGAAATTTAATTTCGTCTGTTTAAGGTTATACTTAATTTGAACGATAAACTATCAAAATGAAAGCTTTCTTAGAGTAGGCTTAGAAAATCTACACCTCAATCTATACTCCGCCATCGAATATTATTATAATTAAAAACGAACTAGAAACATAGTAAGAAAAGTACGAAGTTTCGATCGAAATTTCGTTTTTCGTTGAATTAGAGTAGGCCTCCAGATTTAAAAAAAAATTAGGAAATCCGTGTCCTGCTGTTTAGGCATAAAAACAAATGTACAGTTTAAGTTAAATACAACGATTATTAGTACCCAATGTAGCAAGAGCAGACTCATCTTCGCCCCATAAAAGATCGGTAAACCTTCTGTTACCCGTAGGGTGGCTATGCAAGCTTATTTCTATTCCCTGTGTTAAAATTATGCACGTTACTGTGTTTGGTATACAAATTTATATTATTTTTAACGTGGAGTATAATAATTGTAAATGAATTGAGAAGCAGCAGTCAAATGCCAATTTCTTTAAATTTTTCTCTAAGAGATGTTCGGCTACTCAATTGATAAATAGATCTGACAGCTCTTTTTTGTAGAATGAATATACTTTCAATATCAGCTGCTATTCCCCAGAGTATAATGCCGTATGATAAGATATTATGAAAGTAACTAAAATAAATACAGTCCTGGCAGTATCTGTATCAGTTAATTGTCTTATCTTTTTTATGGCATAAGCTGCTGAACTAAGTTTACCAGCCAAAAGCGTAATGTGATGATTTTATTGCAGTTTTGAGTCTATCGTTACACACAAGAATGTAGTTCAGTCTACTAAATCTAATTCATTATTATTTAATTTAATTCCAATATGTTCAACTTTTACATTAGGTAAAGAAAATTGGACACACTTGGTTTTATTAGCATTTAGCTTTAGATTATTAACATTAAACCATTGCAAAACTTGTGAGAGAGCATTATTAACATTCTCATAGTTGTTCTTGCGCCTGTCAACGTTAAATAATAAAGATGTGTCATCAGCAAATAATACTCTCACACAACTTTTCCCCTGGGGAACGCCCATTTCCACATGAGATCCAGATGATCTAACACCATTTACCTCTACAGTTTGTATTCTGGAACTGAGGTACGACTGTATCAATTTATATGCAGTACCTTTGACTCCATAATGACTCAATTTCAATAACAGCGTGTGATGATCAACGCAATCAAAAGCTTTGGATAAGTCACAGAACACTCCAAGAACATTCTGCGACCTCTCCCAAGCCTCCAATATACTCCTTACAAGTGCAACACCCGCGTCAGTAGTAGATCTACCTCTGGTAAAAACAAATTGTTTCCTATGCAAAAGTTTATTTAGGTTGAAATGAGGCATTAATTGTTCCAGAATAATTCTTTCAAATATTTTACTTAGAACCGGTAAAATTGATATAGGCCTATAATTTCCCGGGTCACTTCTATTTCCTGATTTAAAAAGAGGTATAACTTTACTGTATTTCATCAAATCCGGAAATACTCCTTAATCAATACAGTTATTAAATATATCAACTAGATAAGGGGCAATAACGGGACAGTAAAATAAACAAATAGATAAGAGGGCCACTACCACGATAGTTTTTTGTGCATAAGCCAATATTGATAATCTTAGCGCGGCCGGCGAGCGTAGGTATGCAAAGTTAAGAACATAGATGAGATTACCTTCTGTACTCTATCTTTTGTGGTAAAACTATGAAGTGTAGAATGATGGCAGAACTACACTTAGCTGTCGTGTTGTGTTGTGACGCATCAGAAAGCTAGCTGTGTCATACATTTAGTTGAGAACGGTGTCGACACATCGCGACACACAAGTATAATTCTAACCCTTAAATTAAAACAAAAAACTTAACTTTCCAGGATTCCACAGAGTTGAGAATAGGGTTTTAGAGAAAGCAATGTGCTAGTGATTCTGTAGTAAGGTAACGCAGGCATTTATATTAGCCTATTTGGAGGCTTCTTATAATATCAGGAGAGCCATATATATGTTTGTCACCCTTTTATTAGGGCATTGCTAGATGTCGCATCTAGGTTGTTATGGACAACGTAGTTCACTAAAGCACCATTATATGTCAGCAAAATATAAATTGGCTAAGAACAAATAACTGTTTTTGATTATATTGTAAATTTGTAGCAATTTTACTTTTACGATTTTGGCGGCGGGTCATGTTCCCTTGACCGCGCCTGCATTGCCCACCCTAGAAACCTCTCTGCCCCCCTAAAATTTGTTGAAACATATCTTTGCATGTTTCAGAATGAATATTAGTTAAACTGGGCGGCTGCCACCCTAGGAAAAATCTGTAACTACACCAATGCTTATAAGATTTTTGAATTCATATATATATGACACAATGAGTCCGACCAATTTTTTTTGTTATTACAATTAATAGAAAGTTAATTTAAAATTAGTAATAATTTTACAAATAAAGCTTTCACATTATCTGAATTTTATTGTTAAATCAGTGTGACTCATTGGATCCAATTTAACAGTTTACATACCATCAAACAGTAAATCTTGGTAGTGAATATCTTTTTCTTTCCCAACAAGCTCTTTCTCTTTTTGTTCCCATTTTTCACGCAATGATTGAAGATAATCATTTGTTTTTTGAACCAAAAATGGCATTTCAGTTTTGTTACTATCTTCCTGTAATTAATTAATACAAACAATCACTTTTTTATATGCACAATTATTAAAACATTTGTAGATGTTAGCTATCGGGTCCGAATGGAATCTTCCCGGCACTTCTTCAATGGGCGGGAGATGACCTAATACGGATTCTAGTCGCTCTACTAAGAGCATGCCTGTCCTAACCTTACACACCCAAACTATGGAGGGATGTCAGAGTAACTTTCATCCCAAAACCAGGTAAGAGCGACTATGGCGAGGCAAGAGGCCAAAATCATACAGACCTATTAGCCTCTCTTCTTTCTTCCTAAAATCCTTAGTGAGGCTTTGCGACAAGAGAACTGAAAGACAATCAACTGACGAAGGCAACGCTTCACTGAAATCAAGATGCCTACAGTCCAGGTAAATCGACAGAATCCGCTTTGCATGCCGTGGTAAGCACGATCGAGGATAGCCTAGGACATAAGAGAGAGCATTTGACAAAACCAGTTTTAGCAACATTACGACAGCCCTACTTAGACACGGAGCTGATGAGACCATCGTCCAGTGGATAAGTAATATGCTATCTAACAGGTTAATAAGACCACAAGGAGAGAATCAACTGCGAGCACTGGCTACGAGAGGTTGTCCACAAGGTGGGGTACTCTCGCCACTACTTTGGAATACAGTTGAACGACCTTATTACACGACTGAACAATCTGCACTACCTCACAATAGGATATGCAGATGACCTGGCGATCTTAGTCCCGGGTAAGTTTGCGGACATGGTTTGCGATGTGACACAATGGGCACTGAGAGTGGTAGAGATATGGTGCTCGGAATATGGGCTAAAGGTGTACCCGGGGAAACAGAACCAGTTCTGTTCACCAACAAAAGGAACCTGGGCAGCTATCGTATGCCAGAATTATTCGGCAAAACGCTTTATTTCTCCAAGGAGGTAAAGTATTTAGGCATAAACCTTGACGCCAAACTCAACTGGGGAACACATATTGACAAAACCATTAAGAAAGCCTGCATCATTTTGTACCAATGCAAGAGAATACTGGGGCTTATCCCCCCTTATAAGAAAGTGGCTATACATGACGATAATAAGAGCCATCATAGGCTATGCAGCGCTTGTATGGTGGACGAAGACAACGCAGATAACAACCATAGACAAACTTAAGTGCTACTACCAAGGGCGAGTCTGCCGGGCGATAACGGGCTGCATGAAAACCACCCCAACTACAGCAGCACTAGACACGATTCTTAACGTAAGACCACATTTGAAGCCATGAGAACCATAGTGGCCTAATTCATTTTTTTACAACATTGAGTTTATGATTTTTTCCAGTTCAAATTGATCATTTTGATAGAACCAGAAGTGTCTAAAAGTGATACAACGAATATTCACTAGATGGCAATATAATCACTGTTACAGTTTTTAGTCTGTGATCTAAATTTGAGGTGCCATACTGGCCTAAGTAAGATATGCCACTATGGTTAAAAAATGAGTTAGCTCACTATGGTTCTCATGGCCTCATTTCTACATACAGCAAGAAGCAGCATATGCGTCTACTAGGCTCCATATGCTGGGCTAGTGGAGAGACTACAAAACGCCACATACTCGTATGCTAAAGGGCATTGAGGAAGAATACCCCTTCTTCATGGCGAAAAACGACATGATCCCCATGTATTTGACAAAAAATATAGAATACAACTATATGAAGACAATAAAGATCGAGGACTGCACAAGGAGCTAGCACAGACGGCTTCAAAACCAACTCAGGTACTGGTGCAAGTGTGTTCTCAGTCTCAGAGAATATCAACATTCATAAATCAGACAGCCTGGGTATCTATCCTCAATACGGTCTTTCAGGCGGAGTGTATAGGCATTGTCAGTGCGGCGGAGGCCATCACAATCACGTGCAATCAGGGGAAAGAACATCTGGATACTCTCTGACAGTGCCTCGGGCTGACTCCAGGCGCTAGTCAACAATATAATGACGTCCGGCCTGGTTTTTGAATGCCACTGCAAACTTATGAGGGTAGGCAACGAAAACGAGGTCATACTCCAATGGCTCAAAGGACATAGTGGGTCAAGGGGCAATGATGCGGCAGATTGTCTGGCCAGAAGAGGGTCGGACACTGTGGTATTTGACCCAGAACCAACATACCGATACCATACCGACTGCAGGTAAGGTAGACCAACGGCTAGCAAGTAAGTTTTGCAAATTACCAAAACATGCTTCGAAACAAATAGTGAGCATTCTCACAGGACAAGGACACTTTAATAAACATCTTTTTAAAATAGGTGTCTAGGACAGTCCTCTGTGCAGAGCCTGCATGGAGGAAGAGGAGACGAGCACTCACGTCCTGTTACAGTGCAGAAGCGTGATCAGATAACGGATGACACATCTGGGCAGCCCGCAGACACTAGTTGAGGCCTGCGGAGACACCAAGAGACTGCTGAGCTCTTCTTGCGGGAGTTGGGATGGCATGACTAAGGCCATCCTCTCATGCAAAATAGGCACCTGATGTCGAGTTGCGGAAAACACCCACCGTTCAGAAGAAGAAGAAGATGTTAGCTATAACCACAATCTTAATAAAAGAAAATACTTACTGCCTCTTGTTGTTCACCACTACTCTGTACCCTTGTTAGACCTTTCATTAACTCATTATCTCTTTTAATGTAAAATTCTTTATCAGATTTAAGGCATTTTCGTGTACGTCCCAAGCAATCCGTAAATTCAACCCTATAAAATATATAAGAATTTGTATGAGCAAATAAAAATCTAAATAAACATGAATGATTTACAATGATAATATAAATAAATATGAATAGTATGCAATGTAGTGTCAAATATTTGAACCTTATTTATCTATTTTTGCAGTCTAACATTGTATTTTATTAACCTACGAATTTACACAATAATGGTGTTGATTCTGGCATGATCCTCTAAACTTAATTCTAAATGTAACTACAATCTCTCCTTTTCATTATGTAAAGAGAATGACTAGGATACACTGCTGTCAAATTTAAGTTTGGATATAGAGAATCATGTCAGAATCGTCACCACTGTAACTCAAAAAATAAATGGTTGAGTAGCTAAGATTTTTTTTTTACCATTCATCATCATCTTCTTTCTTGTTAATATAGTCAGTTTCCAAGTATTTTTCAGCATTGTCTTCATTTTCTAATTTCTTGTTATTGAAATCAACTAGAAACTGTCCAGCGAGTTGAGAACTGCCAGAACTGTCAGCTAAGTGATCATAAAGTTCAGATTTTTTAGCCAAGGCCAATCTAGAAAAAAAAGCTATTATACTAAAATGTATCCTACTAATGTTAGAAATTTATAAGTTTATGTTTATTACGCAATCATGCAAATATGTCTAAATGGATTCAGTTAAAATATGGTACATAATCAAAATCATTTATGCAGTTTAGGCTGTTACAAGCACTCATGAAAGTCTAGAAGCTACTCCATGGGTTTGTAAATCTACAGCGGCAGACCTTGTACTGAGAAGAACCGTCAAGAAAATCAGCAAAGGCTGTTTTTTCTCTAAATATTAGGTGGATTGAGACATAGTATAAGGACACCCTGTTACCAAATTTTATTTTATTTTTAAAGAAAAATGCCCAAATGAGGATCCGTAATGATTTTAGTTAAGAATGCAGATTTATAGAGCTAAGGATTCTATAAAATACAGAGGTTAAATTTTGTTCTAAGACAAATATTAAATATATAAATATTTCCAACACACACCAATTAGCCTAGCCCCAAAGTAAGCACTGTAAAGCTTGTGTTATGGGATACTAGGGTAACGGATAGAATACATATATTGTACATATATAGAAATAAATATGAAACATCCATGACTGGAGTGCAAACGCTTGTATTCATCACATAAACATCTGCCCCCACCAGGATTCGAAACCAGGACCTCTCCAGTCAGTGACACCATGAAACCCGGAGTATAAACCACTCTGCCACGGAGGGCGACCATGGTATGACCAAATTACTAAATGAATTTTCGGCTGGCCGCATGGTGGCTGTGATGTCACAGAACTCTAGAGCATGTGTAGAGACGCTACTGAAGTTCCACCAGAGTGAATATTGGCTACCATAAAGTTTGTTATAAAATCGCAAGGAATGATCCAATGATTTAAAAAGTATATTGATTAAAAAGCTTATTAGATCATTATACTGTTGATTTTGTGTTGATTTGCAGATTTACTGATGATCCTCGTTGACACCAATGTCATTCTAAATAAAACTTTTCAGAATCACTTATAAACAAATCATTTTTTTACCTCACTCTTCTATTGACTTCTAACTCATCTGCATCCACAGACTTCAAACTATCTTTAAAACTCTTTTTTCCATCATTGTGGTACTTTTCAACACCAGCTTGTTTCTTAATTAAGGGTGGTTTGAAATTGACAAGTTTATGTTGATGTAACTGCTTCTTATTCTTGACTTCATCTTGTTTTTTTAAAAGTTCTGCTTTCAAGCTCACTAACTGTAACAAAAAAAATTGCAAAATGTTTTCTATAAGATCTCTAAAAACTTAAGGCATAAAATTATTTAAGGTAAATTTTGCCTAGTGCATGTGTGGATATTTGTTTTATATATACTCAATCATGCCGTTGAGGTAGGTTTAATATAGGTACCTAGTTATTCAAGCTACAACATCGATAACATCAACATTAATAAATACTGACGGATGAGATGAGATGAACACAAAAGTTGCAAATAATTAATAAATGTCAAATTATAATACTTCATAGAAAGATTCTTCTTACAGTTGATTTGTTGAAGATTATTTTCTTCGAATTTGGATCATTCATAGCTTTAGGCACAAATTCATTTTCTTTTTCAACACAAGTACGATAGACACACAGTAGAAACAACCGCCAGAGCTTCTCGTTTTATCCTGGTATTGACTGTTTTATCCTATGGTCTGTGAGTGTGAATGCAAATGCTCTTCATTGAACTTTAGCACTTTAAATTTTATTTCAATCAATAAAATCAATTAATGTTTTTATGCATTAGGACTTGATATTCTATCATAAACGTCACGTACTTAGTATACCTATAAAATTACAACTACGAATGTTCTTCTTAGGTGTGTGTGAGCGTTCTAAAGACGAACCGGTTTCAAGGACCGTTTTGTGTTCCGCGACGATAGAACCGTTTTACGTTTCGGATCAAAACAGTCTTCGTCGAACAACTAGTCCTTGGATTATCTGCACGCCAATATGTACTTTATATATAAATACAGTCTATAATAGAACGCAATGATATGAGACCGTTTCGTTCTATAATAATTAAGCTTTGCTTATACAATAATATAATCTTTATTAGTGAACATTTAAAGTCGATTATCGTATAGCACAACATTTATTTCGATGTTTCGTCGTCTCGTTCGCAGCAACGAAACGAACGTTGACAAGATTTCATTTAGTTCAGTTTCGTTGCATTACATTCGTTCGACCGTCGCGTGTCGTTTCGTTGCGTCAGCCGGCCGCAACCAAAACCAGTTGCGAACGAGAACCGTTTCGAGGACTAGTTTTCGTTTAAGAAAAAACGGTTGTGTTTCGTCGTCAGAATTTGAGAACGACCCACCGCTAGTTCTTCTTTTTTTTTTGTTAATTTGTCCCTGTTGGGACGGGCAAAGGTCTTCTTCTTCTTTTATTATGGCATGACGGCTAATGTTGCTATTTGCCGTATGCAAGTTTCATTTGGTTTCATTGTATCGATGTTTGCAATGAAAAACATCGATACAATCCGATGCTTTGAAAAGTTTTCAATATACTTGATGCATCGATGTTTTAAGAAACATCGAATTGGTAAAAGAGTTTGACCACGTAGTGATAATATCCTCTTTGGTTTGACCTCAGTAAAAAAAACTGTAGTTTGACCACAAAAGGACAATGGGCAAAACGCACCCAGCTCCGCCAACAATGTAATTGGTATGAATCGATAGATCTATGAAAAACTAGCCTTTTTTATTATGGCACCAAAAAAAATAACCTGGGGGTCAAAAGATATACACCTGGGTATGTTCTATATTAGGGGTTAAGGTTTCCGCACATAGTCCTTATAGACGACCTTTGTGTGTAAGTCATGGGGACCGGTTACACACGGGCATATTTAAATAGCTCCTTATAGAGAAGCTCGATGGCGCAGGTGGTTAGCGCGTTCGGTTGCGATCGTTGAAGTTAAGCAACTTCCGCAGTGGTCGGTCATTGGATGGGTGATCAAAAACATCTATCTCGAGTTCCTCCGTGCTTCGGAAGGCACGTTAAGCCGTTGGTCCCGGCTGCATCTGCAGTCGTTAGCACCCGCCAATCCGCACTGGGCCCGCGTGGTGGGTCATGGCCCAATCTCCCTATTTCATCCATAGGGAAGGCCTGTGCCCCAGCCGTGGGGACATTAATAGGCTGATGATGATGATATTTAAATAGCTAAAGAAATTCATTCAATATCAATAGTACTTTCGTTTTATAATATTAGCAATAATAAGTGAGTGAATCATATCTTACTGTACAACCAGATACAAAATACTAAACAACAAAGCCTACCGACTATCCTGCTTGCTTGCTGCTTGCACTTACTGAGACTCCTCAAAACGTCTAACAGGGTATGGGGGTTGAAGGATGTGATATTGCAGTTGCCGTTGCAACTAGTCTACTCGTATGCAGTCCTATGTCTTACATTTTGTGCGCTCCCTGTTATTTCATTGATATTTAACTAACACGCTTTAGAAATAGGAACACAATTATCATCGCGTACGTCATTATAATCGTACGAGCTAATAAAAAATCTATGGATCAATTTAAATGCTCGTACTCAGCACACAAACATCTGCCCCCACCAGGATTCGAACCCGGGACCTCTCGAGCCAGCGACACCATGAAACCCGGCGTACAAACCACTCGACTCGGATATATTAATTGACGACCTCCGTGGTCGTCAATTAATATATCCGTTCTATATACTCGTCCTTGTATCTTTAAATATAATGTTCGTTATAGTTACTTTTACCTATGGAATTGTACCTATTTAACTTAAAATAACTAAAGACTCCCGGGATGGAATTTGATGCGCTTTGGCACAAATGATCATGACTATGATACCTTTCAAACAAATGTAGTTTAAGCCGTAGCGGACGTGGGTGCAGTGTCCATGCAATTTTGCCCATTGTCCTTTTACTTATTACTATTATGCACGCATCATTATTCCGAATTATCTGATATGGAACCAATGTTGGTGGCACTGCGCAAGAGTCAGTGCAGTGACAATAAAAAATAACTACGAGTTTCTATGTTTATAAACATTTAATAGAAAAGCGCAGGAAACCTTCAACTTAGGCGGACGTACTTTTTGGCAAGAATTTTTATTAATTTCTATTATTAGTCATTGGGATCAGATAGGTCCTTAGTTTCGTTGCTGCGAACGAGACGACGAAACATCGAAATAAATGTTGTGTTATACGATAATCGACTTTAAGTGTTCAATAATAAAGATTATATTATTGTAAAATCAAAGCTTAATTATCATAGAACGAAACGGCCTCATATCATTGCGTTCTATTATCCTCGTAACGCCCAACTTCATTTAGTGCTAATCATGTCTTATAACCCAAGGTCCTTTTTTAAATCCTAAATTTTTATTGTCGTTCAGACCCAAACTTTGCCAAATATATTAAGGTGCTAAGCACCTTAATATATTTGGCAAAGTTTGTGCAATATAGGCAAAGGTTTTGGTAAAGGTTGTGCAATATAGATGAAATTTCTTTGGCAGCTTATTAGGATCCTAAAGGCCATTTTTGAACAACAAATAGGATCAAAATTCAATTCGTAAAAAAAGTACTTTGGGTATTAAAGGCAATACACATGTGATTTTATTTAATACGTTTAAAAGTACTTTGGGCGTTATATGCAAATATAATTATGTTTCAGTACGTTGAAAAGGGTGTAGAGTCGAAGTAAGTAGCACACAAGAACCAGTTTTTGTAGTAAATGAAACTTTAATTAATTGATTAGAATCTACTCAGGAACATAAAACTTTCTTTCTATAGTAAAAGAATTTCGTCAGAAAAAAAATTTCTTCAAAATTCAATATCGTTTATTCAGTCTACACTGTTACAAGCACTTGTGAATGTCGAAAAGCTACGCCATCGGTTCGCAAATCTACGGCGGGAGACCTTGTTCTGAGAAGAACCGGCAAGAAACTCAGCAAGGGCTGTTTTTTCTCCCTGTATTATATAAAAGAAATTAAATAGCAACCCATAATAAAAATAATGACCACTTATGGTTAAAAACAAATTTTGAATTTTATAAATCATTAAGCAAAATGAAAATTACTCTCTTTCCATAATCAATCTTTTATACTTGGATATCAAATAGCTAATTAAAATTAAAATAATGCGGAAATTTAAAAAAAATTTTGCTTAGTAACACACAGGTGTAACTGAATTGTGGAACTTTCTTTGCAATTCCTCGCCAGCGGCATCAAATGGATGCAACTCGATATTAGAGTCTTTTAGCAACTTGCAGATATCCTGATCTCTCAAAACTAAAAAAAACAGGCAGTAACTGCGGTAGATATTGCAATTTACAATAAGAAAAACCAAAAATATTAATATATGGCTTTTAAGTAGTTAACGCTCTAGGTCCTTTTTTGTATCAATTACTTTAGGTATTAAATATCGTTAATCTATTGGAGTAAATAATAAAAAAACGTTTTCAAACAATGAGTCATACAATTATTAATAAAATTGTAATAAATTATCGCTTTTAAATTAATAGTGTTAGCTTTTGTTAAAAAAATACATTGATTATTTAATGATTCACAGTTTATAATAATTAAAAGTGCTTTACTGAATTTTTAATTTAACAAGTATTGTGATTGACTATATTCCACTAACTGTCATTGTCATGACAGCCCGCCATTCGGCGTACCATAAATAAGTAAAAGCTAGTGGAGGGAGGCCATTCTAGGGATGTCAAAAGTTGAAAAAAATATCGATATATCGATACATCGATATTTTAAAAAATATCAATATCGGCTAAACATCGATATATCGATATATCGGACCAATTTTCCCAAAAATATATTTAGGTCAGCAATAATAACAATACAAATTATAATTAAATAAAGAATTATCAAAGTACCAAATTGCCGCTACACTACATGACAGTATAATATCTCACGAAAGATGACACGCGGGATAATAATGGAACGAAAATGATCTCCCTAAAAATAGACCCTATTTTCGAATGATGAAAATTATTGCAGGGCCTCCTTACGTGGCATCTTTCGTAAAGAACACTAGACAGTCACACACTTCCACAGAATATAATCGAATTCAGCACAACCAATTCACCAGCGAAACAGATTTACAAATCATAGAAAATACTAAATACAGCACAAATCATAGATATGTTGAATATCATTAATCTGAGCTTCAGTTACGATTTTTCCAGATACGAATTTAGTTAGATCGTGATATGCCGCTAATAATTAAAAAAAAATATCGTTTTTGATACGAATTTCGATATTGGTTATTTTGTATCGATGTATCGATATATCGAATCAAAATATATCGGCTAAAAATATCGATATATCGAACAAAAAATATCGATATATCGATACATCGATATATTTTCAGCAAGCCTAGGCCATTCTTGTTCGAGCCGTTGGAGTGATTAGACGTTTAAAGTGAAGTACTGTGAGTCAAACTGTGAGGGTGACAACGAGTGTTAACACTATTGATAAGCATAGCGGATTAAACCGTGTAAGTAACGATTCCCTTGTTAAAATGCATGTGTAGTGAGGACCCGTAATGAAAATAAAATTATGTTTATGATACAAGGATTGTTGGTTTCTTTTACAAAGCCCCGATTATGACTGGAAGTTATCAGTTCAGAAGTGGGATCGTAAGAGAATTTTAACAATTTTCTTTCCAAGCCCACAAACGGCCAAATTTAAACAGAAGTAGCATGTCTAATATCAACCTTTATTGCAACAAAGTAAGAATACCAATGCTTTGAATTTGAAAAATAGTTTATTTTGTCTTTTTTTTCTTATCCAATGAGGTATCAGTTTTTCCTTTGACATTACAAAAAAAGGCGTATTTTTTTTAAAAAGGGGGTAGATTGAGTGAATTTATATTTTCGACAACCGAATCGATGAGAATTATGCTTTTGCGAATAGTTACTGTGCTTTTAGGTAGATATAGCAAAACT